TTTTTTCATTACTGCATTTTTTGCCCGTTGTGAAAAAGTGTTAATAAAGTTTGCCCCGCATAACAAATGCACCCCCAACTTTGCTCCGATTTTTCGAGAAAAAAAGTGGGTTCATTATGTGAGTAAATGCGGGAAAGTTACTGAAACAGTAATCTGTTTATTTGGCTCCGAAATAATTGCTGAACAAGTTGTTCCAGAATGCTCAATTGCATGGCAACCTTTTTTTTTATCATTGAGTGAAATCGGGCATGCTTCTAAGATGATTGGCTCCGTGAGATTTGCAGTGAATTGAAATATTTCTAATTTTTTACAAGAGCCCCAAAATAAATACTGAGGTCCTTGAATGTAAATGCTACCCGCTTCTCCAGTGTAGTCCAGGATGTGAAGTTAGCTGCTCCAGAGTGCTCCAAGATGCAAAATTACTTGGTCCAGAGTGATGGGAATATTTGCTGCTTCATAGTGCTTCAATATGAAAATTTCACTGCCCCGAAAATGGTTCCAAATCGAAAGGTTGATTCTACAAAAGATGAAAAAAAAAAAAAAAAAAAAAAAAAGCTGTGGCCCAACATACAGTCTTACTACAAAAGCTGTGTACTTGATGTTTCCGATTTTTCTGATCATTTTCCTTGTGCTCACATGACTAAATAGCGTGAAATCAAAATTTGTTTTCAAATAATACATTTTTTTCTATGGAGGAAAGTTCAACAAGTGTTGCCGTTTGACTGCAACCATTTTACGAAGGGTGCATTTTCTGAAGGTTGCAACCATGCCAACAGCCACTGGCATTAGTTATAACGAAGTAAAAGAGGAATACTATTGCAATAGATCCAGTGTTAGGAATATACTTTTATAATAATTTTTAGATATAATGAACACATTTTCATGTATAATGTAACTTCGTTTTAATGAGGTTTCAGTGTATATGTAAAAAATAACTCTCAATTGTGTTTAAAGTCCTGCAAAATGTTCTCAGAGGGCTGCAGAATGAAAGGAAAAAAAAAAAAAACGTTGCATAATTTTTGTTAGAGCAAAATTAAAAAATGCCATACATTGAGTTTTCAGAGCTTGGCCAGTAGTGCATATAGGTGTCTCACGAAAGTGACATTTTTTTTTTTCGTATCTAAGCTTCGCTAGATGACACTAATGATGTCTTTTTGGTGAGGGGAAACTGTTTTGTGAAGAAAACTATGGTTCTAGTTAAATGCATTTGGGACACAACTTAGCCCTCATAGACGAGCTGCATGCACTTTTTTCCTCTGGATTATGTCTTGACTAAATGAGGTAACATAAAAGCAGTCAAGCTAAACATGTAATTGGTAGCCGAGCTGATCATGCATTAAAAGAATGTAAGAAAACTCAGAGGTGACAGTGGCTAAACGTGAGTACCGCAGTGCTACCTTAAAGCGGCAGTGACAACAAATTTCTGAAATGCGTGTTCTTTGTTGTAAGAGTTTCCTTCAGCTCCCGGAAGCATTATACACGCACCAAGATTAGTGTATTTTCGCTAAGTTTAATATTGCTCTACTCATGTGGATGATTTCCGGTTTCGGTTTCGCGGCGCCGAGTTGGGCAGTGACGTTGATGCATAGGTGGCTTGGCCACGTGACCACACAAGGCTGTGACGCACATCGTGCTGAGTTTTGTCTGCTCTCACATGCACGTGCCACACAAGCGCCAGCAAAACAGACGTGTTAACAGTCGCCATGGACAGCTGAAGTAGCATCTAGGCAGTGGCAAGGCAAAAGGCAGCCAGAAGGAAACAGTGTTTATATTTACAACGTATGTACAGAACATGGACGAGGAAGCCGCCTGATGCTGATATGCCGGCCTTTTATAGGTGCCGATACGCTGAAGGAGCGTGGGGCAGCCCCGCTGTTAGATGCGTGCGGCGTCTCTCGTTGAGTGTCTCTTCGAAAGCACCCAGTGTCCTCGACGAACGCACTGTTTCTCTGCACAGGACGCCGACACACTCGTCACTACAAATCTGGTGTGACGCCACGGCAACTGCCTTTGCTTCTCCTACTCTGAAACGTCTGTGTTGCTGCGCAAGCAATGGGTCTAGATCATAAGAGAGGGCATTCAGCTATACTTTTAAGTGAATTAAAATTTATTCTGCGTGTTTGTTTTGTTTGACCCTTCGTGTGGAGAGTTCTTGCATACATAGGAAACCTTCAACAGGCTCGGGATAGCTTGAAATTTGGTGACACCACCCCTTTAAGAGCAACAGCCATGCATATTTTTCCAAACTTTGCCGTTCTGCTCGAGAGGCACTGGGATAACGATTGTGTTGGTAAACGGTGAATTTTCCCTGCTCATCGCTGTCCCGCCTGTTCTCTAGATTCGCAATGAGCAGATCGAGTGGCCCGTGCTCTACGCCTCTGTGTATAGGCCCACTCATGCTAGCGTCAAGTCTGCTGTAATGGCGATGTGCAAGAGTGGCTCAAAGTGCACGGCAAGCTTTGCCGGCGAGGCATTTTAGCCTCCAAAAAACATAGCTGCTCTTCTGAATTCAGTTGGCGACCACATCGAATCTATCAAGTGGCCACGGTGCACTCTGTAGCTTGTAAGCTCCGAATTGATGGTTTCATTCGCTTCAGACTCCTGTCCTCAAATTTCAACAACAAAGTGTTTGAATCAATTCGGCACCATTTTTTAAAGCCACTTTTAACTAATTGATGCTGTAGGCTTAGAGAGTGCTCCCCAAATCTCTGAGGGCATAAATAAGGCATAAATAAAAAAATACAGTTGTACTGCATAGGCACAAATATGATCACACTCGCATGGTTATTGAAGAGGAGACAATGGTTCAGGAACCTGACAACTGTGCGATCAAACCATCAGTTGCCCTCATAAATAAAGAGCTTCATTATCTGGCAAATGGCCCATGTGTGAAATCAATCTGATATTCTGCCTCGTGCTTCGTGTGTATGAATGTTTGTTCAAATGCTACTTTCCTTCCTTTCTTTTTTCCTGGTTGTCATATATAAATGCAATGCGGGATAACTAAACCTTCAGTTGATAGTCTGCGCTTGTTCCTGTCTTTTCCCCATCCAAGTTTTCTACCGTGTAGTATACTTAGATCATGTATCATCAACTGGCCCAATCGTCCATTTTGATTGGCTCTTCTTCTCTGCAGGATATGGAAAAAAACTCGTGATGGAATTGGTGGAGTCATGAAGCATCAAGTATCTTTTCACAACCTACGGGAGAAAGTGGCCTTGTTATACAGACACCAAATGAACTGGTCGCTCTATTACAAAACAAGCTGAGGAATATCGAGCTTATTCTTGCCCCTACCTGTAAGATGGAGCCCTTCTGGAATAAAAAAAAAAAAAGGAAGAATGGAAGCTCATCCCCGGGGTTAAAGGCGTCCATCCGTTCATGGCTTGTTTGGCAATGCAGACCTGATGCAACGCAAACCCTCCACAATGGTTTAGTGGCTAAGGTACTTGGCTGCTGACTCGCAGGCTTTGGGATTGAATCCCGGCTGCGGTGGCCACATTTTCAATAAAGGCGAATATGCTTGAAGCTTGTGTGTATAGATTTCGGTGTATATTAGAGGACCCAGGTACTATTCAAAATTTCTGGAGCTCTCCACTACAGCATCTTTCATGATCATATGGTGGTTTTGGGACGTTATACCTCAACAGTTATTATTATGCCTGATGTAACGCAAAGAAAACCTGTTTTGTTCGTGGCCAGAACTGCTGCCACCAATCTTCACATAATCAACCTTTTTTAAATCTGCCTTTGATTGCCTACGGCTTGACAATGTATGCATTCGGGCTAACAAAATCAAACCTCTTGGCGACTGCTCTTTGGAAGTTCCTTTCGGTTCCTGCCAGAGACCTTGCCTTTTATACCAGCCTTTCAATTCTGCCACAGCATGACATCATAAAAGACGCACGGATGGAATGCATTCTTGGGCATCGAAGATATAAATTCCGTTCAACTGAAGTAGATGAAATGAAAAAGGGTACAAATGGATGAGCTGCCTGTGGAATGAGGTAAACGCCGTCGTAAAGTCACAGACCATGCAAATGCATTTACTTGCAATGATTGTCTTCTTTACTCACCAAAAAGACATCATTAGTGTCATTTGGCCAAGCTCGGAAGAGAAAAAGGATGTTTTATTTTATTCTCTTAGTACAAGAGATGTCCTATAAGTACTAGCGAGTAAGCTCTGGGAACGCAGTGTGACATTTTTTAATCTTGTTGCAACAAAAATAACGAAACACGTTTTTAAATATCATTTTGCAGTCCTCCAAGAACATTTTGCAGGATTTTGAACAAAATTGAGTTTTTTTTATATTGCATTTTTGAATTGAGGAACACTTTTGCCATTTTGATGTTTCAAGCATAAAAACTTATTACTTAAATAAACTAATATAGGAATGCAAATGCATACATTGCTTGTTCACATGAAGGCCTATTTATACTGCAAATATAAACAACCAAACGTGTTCACAGAGGTAGCCACAGTGTCCTGAAATCAACTGATGTTTCAGAAATGCAGTGTTCTGGGGAAATTTTTAAAAATGCATTATTTCCTCAGAATTTCATAAAGTGATGAGAGCTACCTCCTCTTCTATTTGAGCTAAAAAGAAATAAATTTGTAATATGTAGCATCAGTGGCTGCCAGCATGGTTGCAAGCTTCAGAAACCTTGCCCCTTCGTAAAGTGGTCACCATTAACTGGTGAAGCATGTCTCATTTTTCGGCATTAAAATTATTTTTTTTACTTGAAAACAACTTGCGATTTCACGCTATTCAGTCATATGGGCACAACATTCAAAATTATCAGAAAAATCAGAAACTTCAAGTATACAGATTTTTTTTAATCTTTCGTTGAATCGACTAGAAGACCTTGGTAGCATCACTGTGTATGCCACTGGCCCCTTTAGTGTTCCATGTGCCTTGATTGCACACATGTGATGTGACTTCTTTACGACAAACTTGCTGGCTTGATAGCGTAACGTTTTGTGAATGAATTTTTTGCAGAACCTCAGCACAGCAGTGGAGATGTGGAGTTCCAGCTGCTTGAAGCAGCAAAAGCAGGAGACCTGGATATTGTGAAGGTGCATGTCTGTTTCTCTTTTGCATATTGTACAAGTGATTTAAAAATACGGTCAAATCTCGTTAACGTGAACTTCAGGGAGATTGAAAAGCTGTTCATTTTAATGCGTTTGAACAAGCAATAGAGTAGCAGTATAGTGTAATATGCGCTACAGCCCTGCTACATATCACTCCTGGATGCTCTGCTTTACCGGCTGCCAACTCATGTCCTGTGATACCAATAGTATGTGTGATTTTCAGCGTGTTCCTACTTAAAGGGGGTGTTCAAATGAAAAGGTATAAAATGATGCCGTTGGTATAAATGCAAAATTTATTAAAAGTACACACTATGTGCCTGATTGCAACAATCCCGTCAATGAATGAGCTGAAGGATTCCTTTGTTCCCAGAATGTTTTGCTCCCAGGATTCCTGAGGCGTGACGAGACCTAGTCCTTCGGAGCATGCTCGTGTTCGTTGTCCAAGATGAAGTGCTTTCCTTTCAAATGTTTTTTTTTTGAGGGGATTAAACACATGTAAATTACATAGGACTGGTGGTCGATTTAACACCCTCTGCTCTCAGAAATTGAACAATGCCTCACTGCACTGCTATTCTTACACGCAGGTCTGTGTCAATTGGATGGCATTCTTTGTAAGCGTGTTCCAATCCATGGCAAAGACTCCAATCGCATTCCCAGACATCTCGCTACATCCTCCCATAGCAGCATAGGCATCCGTGTTAATTCAGTTAAACCCCTTGATAAGAGGCATGGTCCGGACAGCAATTCTTGTCTTTTATATGAGGTGTCTTTTATAAACAGGGTACCATGTATGCATTTTTTTATTAACCCTTATTTTACTGTAGGCTTACTGGTGTCTCTTATAAACATTTGTCTCTTACATCAGTGCCTCCGATAAAGGGGTTCGACTGTAGTTATGTTGTTACGACGTTTCGTACCTATTTATTTGAACACCCCTTGTAGCTCCTCCTGTAGGATCCAGTGCATTAGAAACATTGCTTTTACGTCACAACTTGAGGACCATGTAAAAGGGCATGCGTGTGAGCTTGATGGCAACTCTTCATCAGTTTGAAATAGCACGAAAACGAGGACACAGTGTCCTCTTTTTCAGGTTGTTTTCCACTGTTCAGGATTGTTCCTGTGTGATGTGTGGCGAACTGACACTTTGAGCTGGACGCAGTGGTACAGTGTATTAGAAAGGCAACGATTGTTTGAAATATTAGCGCGATACGTAGACGCAGACAGGATAGACAGGGACAAGTGCTTCCTACCAACTGAAAGTTTATTTTGAAATATTAGCGCGATACGTAGACGCAGACAGGATAGACAGGGACAAGTGCTTCCTACCAACTGAAAGTTTATTCATAAAGCTGTGAAATATATACTGACAGATGAAACATTTCGTAAGCACTTACAATAAAACCAAATTGCAAACCGAAATAAAAAAAAAACTAAATATCTATTTATATAGGCCCCACCTTGCCGACGCCCACTTTGCCTTACAGCGATTACTTAACTCCTATGGCATCTGCGACTGTCCAAAATGTTTACGAATCACCAACTCACCCAATCAACCATTTTCTCTAGAAGGGAAAGTGTGCCATGCGCAGCACATTCCAGTGGAGGCGATGAGGCCCCCACAGCGAAGGAGCAGCTTTGATGCAGCTCAGGTGCGCTAGGGGGGGCTCAAGAAACATGTTGTGTGTTGGCGCGTGTTGCATTGCCAGTTTGTGCTGTTTACGTTCAGCCAGTACTTTGTTGTCGATACTTTTTGCCACACTGTGCTGTACTTGAGGGAATCAGTGGTGGTGGGGTCTGCGCTTGTCTACAGGAAGGAAAAATCAAAATCACAGGGAGGCAGCAGGTAGAGCAAAATGGTTTGTTTTGTGCTGGATTGTAAGAGTGGCTATCGCTCATGTAAGGAGGCGCGCTCTTTGTTTCGGGTGCTACTTGAAGCTGATCACAGGGAAGAATATCCGAATCTCAGTAATTCGGACTTGAAGGGGCCCAAAAATTTGTTCGAATTAATGAAAGCTAAATGAACAGATGCTCACCATGCAGTGGCGCATGGGCATTGAGCTAATACACGAGAAGGAAGTTTCAGAAGACTTACACTTATTCACAAATCACAGGACATTCCTCATTAATTGAAGTACAGTGGAACCCGCTACAACAAAGCTCATGAGGCGCGAATAATATTTCGTTGAAGCGAGAGTTTCGTTGTATTGAAATCGAAAAAATATAGTTGATCTGAGCTAGCAAAACAAAGGAACATTTATTCTTAACATTAAAGAAGTATCCGGTGCTTCCTATTCTTTCCCAGTAGCATCATGACGCGATTCACAGTCATGCATAGCGAGGCCATGGTGAAAACCACGCTGAAACAATGCCTGCAATCGCTTTTGTAAGCGTACCAAACAGTTGCATTAACACGTTAACACCAGCAGCCATCCGCCGTCAAACTGTATCCGACAACGCCAAGGTGGAGGCAGGGTATGGTGGAGCGGTGACTTTTGCCTTATTCTATGCCATTCTTATCATCCATCACTCACACCTAGCTGGTTTAGTTGATAATGCGAACCGTCAACCCCTCTGATTAGGTATCACACTGGCCAATCGCTCTGCGGTTGCACGCAGCAGCTGCGGCAACTGCGGCAACTGCATGAAGGAAAGCATGAACTGAGCGACTGAGCTTCAGCTTCAGATCGTCTACGGCTCGAAAGCAAGCCACTGGCAAAAGCGGGGAGCGGGGCCATCCTCCATGAGCAGGGCAGTCTCATTGGCGGTGGTGCCAACGCGTGTTTTAGACTTCGTCGACCTATTTTCAGGTTCTCAAAATGCATCAAAGTGCTAAAGATTGGGTTTTCTGTATAGGAATAAGTATCTGAGCCTGGAATTACATCGTGAAATTTTGTTGAAGCGGGACGGCAGAAGAAAAATCACAACGTATCCACGGAGTGAACGATCATGTGGGGGGGCGAAACGTCTGTCAGCCCGTCGGCTTCTGTTCGTCCGTTCGTTCTTGCTTCCATCCGTCTGTGCAATCATCCGTGTGTCCATCCATGCGTCCGTCCGTGAGTCCGTTAATCCGTCTGTTCGTCTGTTCGTGCGTCTGCACGTCCGTCCGTCCGTTTGTCTTCCTTCTAGTCTGTCTGTCCGTCCGTCCGTGCGTCCATCTAGTGAACACTCCAAGTACCGCCATGTCTCATCTCACATTCCCTAAGGCACATATCCACTCCACGAGTCTGTCTATGCGTCCGTCCGTCTGCTAGTCTGTCCATTCGTCCGTCCATGCATCCGTCCATGCGTCCATCTAGTGAACACTCCATGCCATCTCTCTTCTTGCATCCCCTGTGGCTCATACCTGCTCCAGAACGGGTATGAGCCACTTGTGGCTACATACACCAACGGAGGATGGATGGACAGACCCACATCTTTAAGGAGCTTTGTCCCTAAAAAGTGTTCGTTGTGGTGACAATATTTATGCATTGACTCCTATGGACTGCTGACAGGGGACCGTGAATTTTTCGTTGTAGCGGAAATTTCGTTGAAGCGGCGTTTGTTGTAGCGGGGTTCGACTGTAATTGATGATGCGTGTGTGCACACGTTTGCCTTGCAGTGAGTCAATCAATTTCGCACGCAGTTTGCAAAGCATTTCTACTTTGGCTTCAGCATTCTCCTGGCAAAAGAAGTTGCGCGTGGCAAAGTCCAGGGCCGACACTCTCTAAAGATGACTGCAACGACTGTGTTCTCCGCTGCTACCCTTTGCGCCGCACCCGGAGCTGGCCAGCTCATGACAAGAAAGGAGGAGCGTCTCCACGCGGGGAGAAGCAGAGATTAACATTTGAGAGAGAGCGAACACTCCGCCACTGCTTTCTTAATTTTTTTCCTCACTCTTTTTGCGCACGACATTGAAAGGAGAAGGGTCCCTACGTGGCAAGAACGAAAAAGGGAGAAGCGTGGCACAAGCGCGTCGCAGATCAGCATTTGAGAGAGCAAACATTCGCTGCAGCCTGTCCCTTTCTTTTCCTTTTTCGCGCGCAGCGTTGAGGTGTCAGAGGTGCCACTACGGGATTGGGCGTGGTGCTGAGAGCATTTTGGGAGTGTAGTATGTTCGAATTAACTGTCGCAAGTACGTGCGCGTTCAAATTACAGGGCTTTTTTGCCCAGTGTAATACATATAGCTTTGACGGGACCACAGTGTGAGTTCAAATTAACCGGAAGTTCGAATTAAGCGTATTTGAATTAATGAGATTCGACTGTGTACTGTAAAAACCGGTTATAGGTTGAACCGAAACATAGGTTGACCCACCAAACTTTGAATCTCTGAAAAAAAAATTTTTTTTTAAATCGACGTAATGCGGCACACTTTCACCTTGGTAAATACACAAGATAACTGCTGCACTGTGGTGACATTTCTTTTTATTTGAACACTTAATCTTACGTAGTTCAACGCCAAAAGGCCACTAAGCGCTGTCACTCAGACTCGTCCAAACTTGAGTCCAATGACGTCTGTTTTTCACTAGTAAGGTCCTAGAGTGCATCGTCCTTCGTTCCATGCAATATGTTACTGATGCAGCATTTGCGGAAAGACGGACGTACGCTGCCTCAGTGCAAAGCCCTTCCACTTCATAAATCGGCACACCCACGATGGTGATCCCTTGAATTGCACCCTCGTTAGCCCAAAGTTGCTTGCTATCTTGAGAGTTTTCACTAGGATGCACTCCGCTGTTATAGGTAGCGACACAGCTCCCGGACGAGCTATTATTACTACTTTATAATTAGTTTTTATGTGTGAAGCTGTTGGTGCCAGTAAAATAGCATGTGTCTTTGTGGATGATGGCACTCTTGCATCAGTGGTTCTATTCATCGACAAGAGTGTGGTTGAGTTGGTTGATGTATGCAGCAGGGACGAGGTGTTGAAGGAGAAACCATAATTGTGCTCATGCAAGAATAGTTGTACATTATGCAACCATTTGCCCGTTCTCTCTGGTAAAACAAAGGTT